CCATAGCATTTTAGGATTGTAAATACCTTAATCTAATGGTCATAAACAGATCCCATACCCCGAACAGCTCGCCTTTACTACTTCCTTCACCACTTCCTACGTCGCGGACCTGTTTCCTTCCCTTCCATTAGCATTAGGATTGCAGATACTTAATCTTAATCTCTACTTAATCTAATCGTCATAAACAGTTCCCACGCTCCGGACAGCTTGCCTTGACTACTTCCTTCACCACTTCCTACGTCGCGGACCCGTTTTCCTCCCTTCCCATAGAATTTTAGGAATGCAGATTACTTAATCTAATCGTCATAAACAGTTCCCACACTCCAGACAGCTCGCCTTGACTACTTCCTTCACCACTTCCTACGTCGCGGACCCGTTTTCTTCCCTTCCCATAGAATTTTAGGAATGCAGATACTTAATTCTAATCGCCATAATCAGTTTTCACACTCCAGACTGCTCACCTTTACTACTTCCTTCACCACTTCTTACGTCACGGACCTCAAGCTAGTGTCGTCATTTGGTTATATTTATGATCCATACCGTTTCTGTTCTAATATCTGTGGATTAATGCTATAAACTATTTCTTTTCTACTGCATTCAAAAGTCAACAGCTGATCATATGTATTTGTTTATGTGTCAAATACTTCTTCCATAAGGATTACATTGAAACTTTGAGACCCAGTGGGGCGGATTCCTGAGAGACTTTTTAAACGCCATATAGATGTTGGCACTCACCGATATGGTCTTTATCACCATGCAAAATTTGAAAACGATTGATTCAGCCGTCTAGGAGGAGTTTGCGTATTACGAAATGCAAGAGTCGACGTATAAGAGCTTCGCTCGCTTCGCTCGCTCCGCTCAATTATTCTTGTTTTTTTGTATTTTTTATAACCTTTTGTAATGTCGCATATTTGCGACGCGAAGACAATAGTGAAAATTATCATAGTTTTATTGAAATAGACTAAATGTCGCATATATGCGACAGTTCATTTTTTGTGTTTTAAAGTGAAAGTAAGTAAAAAAATAAACAGATTATTCAAGAACAGTTTATAACTGAACAAATATAAAAGCTACATAGGACAATGCAGCATACATACTGCATAAATACATACAGTGATGCAGAGAAGTAAATACCAGTTTTTCCAACTATTATATGACGTCACCAATCATCATATCCACAGACCAAGCGACGCAGTTGTGCGTCAGACATCTCTGTAGACCACTGCTGGGAATTCATTGCCTTCAAATAGACCACTACAAAGATATAAGCATTTTAATAACATTAGAGCCTGACGCAAATATGCGACGGTAGTCTATGGGTGGAAACCGGTCGTCGCATATGTGCGTCGCTGGTCCATGTGAATGGAAAATTTCGTACTATTGCAGTAGCGAACGTGTTAAAGACATCAGAAATTATGACTGTTATTCGTTAAAAAAAAAATGCCTGTAATACTTTGAAATTGCTCAGATTCGAGTAATAGGTACACTAGTTTAATTTAAAATGCAATAATACTACATAATTGTAAATGGAAATTTTAGACATACTAATCTAATGTTAGAGGTTAATAGTTTAGTTTATGATAGACACCACCTCAGCAAAATGATAGGCGACAAAAACACAAAAACCTTGGCCTCTGGCTTGAGAATGCAATGATAACAATACTTACTATAGACCCGGCAGTGTCAAATGATTACTTATATCTTTAACTTGTAAAATTAAAAATTGAACTTTCACTTTCTCTACATTGATGATGTTAGTAGGCCTACAGTTGGTTAAATCAAAGATTACATATGCTACAAATCAATAAAAATGAGACCTTTAAAAAATTATTAATTCAAAAATAAAAAATAGATTCCTAGCTTTTTTGTTTGTGACACAATTACCAAATTTGTTTTTAATTTCAATGAATTTAGCCCACACTCAAGTTGTAAAGGAAACTCAGTTTTATTTATTTATTATTAGGAACAAAACTTAATCAGTAGACAATATCTCGGTTTTATAGTATAATAAATAAAACTGTATAATATCAGGATATATTATACTCTTTGTTCACCACCACTTCCTTACAGGAGGAGGACATCATAGTTGAATAATATTGGCAGAACACAGGTTGTTGGTAATTTGAATAGTAAAAAAAATATTTATAAAGAAAGAGAAGAGATAGGTCTTGTTTTGTTTTAATGAACAGAATGTAATTGATATTTGTTTACAAATTATAAAAAACAGCTGAACATATGATATTAAATAAAAAGTACAAAAGAGAAATTAATTGTACAGAACAAAAGGTAAATATAATGAGTGGTGGTATTCTTCCACCTCAAAGAACTATACATTTTCTTTTAATTTAAAAGTTTTAATTATGCGTAATCCATCACTGCCAAAACTTGTCTGTAATTTGCTGACCAACTCTCCAAGCTTTGCGAAGACTGGTCTTCTCAGGTATTTTTGTGCAAGGAGACTTTGCACCTGACCTTCCTAAGAGAAAGTGATTGGGAGTTAGACTTTCATCATCATTTGGGTCTGTTGAAATACGTGTCAATGGTCTGCTGTTCACTACATTCTCAACTTCGGTAAACACTATCTGTAATACTTCATCTTTTGGAAACCTTTCTGTTAGACAAGTTTGTAAGGCTATTTTTACAGTTTTAACTAATTGCTCCCACACTCCACCCATGTGAAGAGCTGCTGGTGGAATAAATCGCCAGGTGATACCCTCAGGTGCAAGTTTGGACTCTATCTTGGATTGTTTTAACTGCCCATTATATTTATCTTTTGTTCTGTACAAATTAATTTCCCTTTTGTACTTTTTATTAAATATCATATGTTCAGCTGTTATTTTATTTATTTATAATTTGTAAACCCATATCAATTACATTCTGTTGTTAATTAAGGTGACACAGTACTCCCTATCCCGCCCATGTTAAAATGACAGTTTTTAGGTACACATAACTTTTACAAATATTAACCTATCAATTATAAATTATATAAATTATATACCTATTAATTATATATATGAAGCAAAAAAAGTTTTTGAGCAAAATTAAATTGTTAGTATGATTTTAAAAATTGTATAAAATATTTTGTAATTTTTTAACATAAAATATTTTTTTATTTCAAAGGTTTTTGGTTGTCATGGAAACTGATTCGTATTATTGTTCCTTATCATATGAGGAACACACACACCAATTTTTATTGAAATTGGATTATAATTGAGGAAGAAAAGTGTACCTGACTAAAAACCACTTGACTTTCGGAAAACGACAAAAGTACCCCCTGTCACGGGTAGTAGTAGGACCCTTGGGCATGCTAAAGTAAGAGTGGATAAAAGTCGCTGTATAGCTTAAAATAATTTTTTCTTCCATAATATTTGGTATGTACGTGTTCAGGAAAGTGTGTTCTACAAAACTAAATAATAAAAAATGTTTAAACAAATTTAATATTTGACGGCGTACCCTCTGCGTCTTGATTAGTAGTAGGACCCTGGACATGCTAAATTAGGCTGCAATAGTTTATAAAAGTAGCTGAAAATTTTAAAAATAATTTTTCTTTTCCTTAATTTTTATCATCCACGTGTTCAGAAAAGTCTGTTATACAAAACTAAATAATACAAAAAAAAAAAATTATATTTGGGTACTGTGTTACCTTAAAACAAAACAAGACCTCTCTCTTCTCTTTCTTTATAAATACTTTTTACTATTCAAATTACCAACAATCTGCGTTCAGCCAATATTATATTCAACTATGATGTCCTACTCCGGTATGGAAGTATACCGAAGTAGGACATCATAGTTGAATATAATATTGGCAGAACGCAGGTTGTTGATAATTTGAATAGTAAAAAACTATTTGAAAGAGAAGAGAGAGGTCTTGTTTTAATGAACAACATAATGTAATTGATATTTGTTTACAAATTATAAATAAATAAAAAAAACAGCTGAACATATGATATTACATAAAAAGTACAAAAGGGAAATTAATTGTAGGTACAACAAAAGGTAAATATAATGAGTGGAGACAATTCAGTTTTCAGAGATGGATTGATTGTTATGGCATTGTTTGCATGAGGGATTATAGTCAACTAGGTGAAACCCGTCAAAATCTACGGTTACTTTCAAGGCTTTCGCTAATTCATCTAACTGTGATAAATTCAGTGAATTTATACATATTTTGATCATTTAGCATTGTTTAAAGAGTAATAAGTGTAAAAACAATAATGGTATTAATTGCGTTAGTTGCCAAATACGGTTGATGAATAAAATATTTTCATCACTCTTCGCCGATTTTTAAGATAGCCTATCTAACATGTTCAATAGATTTATGAGAAAACTAAACTATACTATCGGCGAATTTGGTATAAGTGAAAGGAGATAGAATGGGAATAGTATTTTGGTAAAAAACCATTATTATTGTGTTCCAGAGAGAGCAGTTTGAAACTCTTGGTAAAAAGGCAGTTAATTTTTCAAATGACTCTCCCTTAGTTCAGTAGTCCCATTTGTCTAATTAGCTTAGGTGATTAGGCTATAAGAATGGATTTAATCCTTTGTTACTATAGGGAATAATAATGTAAACGGTCATGTTAGCCCGTAGTGAAGTCACAACTTCAGCCGGTTCGTAATAAAACTCAAAAGTATGTTGGGCAAAGACGACGGGTAACAGCTAGTTTCCTATAAAAGTCTACTTTACTATTGTAGGACTCATGGTGACTAATTGAACAGCAAAGATAAATAAGACAGAGGAACTATCCGATTCAAAATGAATTAATCAACTTGAAATTATTATGTACAAACAAAAATTTTAATAAACACAATATAACCAATAGTTAAATCTACAGAAAGCCAAAAATTTGTGTTGGAAGAGACAAAGGGAAGTTTTGCATCAGTTTGACCATATCAATTACTAGATTAATCCATAATTACTGAATTTTTATCAGGACTCTATTCGATTGGATTCTATTGATGTCAAAAGGTTGACCGATTTTAATAACATGATAAGGGCAGATATAAAAGCTATCCGTCAGACCCAGCAGTCACTGTTCACCATGAAGGCAACAGCACTGCTTCTGTGTGGTCTGGCACTGGCCTGCGCTACCCAGCAAGGTACGGGGCATATAATATTTATATAAGATTTTTCCAAGAGCATTATTATGGATTATATTATTGTAATTCAGTATAACATAATTTTATTCATTAAAAGAAGCTGAAAAGACTTTGGAATGATACTAATAACAGGATCAAGTTAAATGATCTGTTTTTGGTCCATACAACATTTAATTTCAATAGTAATTACAATAATTAAGCCTACGAACAATTTGTATGGTGTAAAAGCAGCATTTTTAGATTTTTTTAATCACGTTATGCTATATTGGCTTCAGTGATCAATTCAACAGATGAGAAACAATAATTTATGTTTTAAGGAAATAGAGTATTATTGTAATTTATTAACTGATAAAAATTGATAAAAATAGTATGAAAATTATAATATTCTTGAATAAATATATATCTATAAAAGAGGAAGTATGTATGTATGTATATATATACCGGACTCCTCACAGATTGTAATTAAACTTTCAGGCATTATTAAGCATTATTAAAGGATGGTTTGAGTGAAGTTTGGTGCAAATCCGTCAAAAGGGCTCCGCCCCAGGGGTTTTAAGTGGTCCAATGTCAGAGTTTTGGAACTACAATTTTTACTAATAAATATAATTTAAAACAGATTTTTACTTTCACCAACTGTTTATGACTGTTTAAACTGTCATACTGTTTAAAAAAATATATAATTGCTGAATTTGAGGCATTTATATTTTTATTTTATGAACAGAACTATTTTTTCGATTAGTAAACCTTCGTTCGATTTTTTTATTATCAACAATTTTGGTTAGTTTGGTTAGGTTAAGACATTTTAATTTTATAATTAAAAAAAATATAAAATTGAATTTGAGGCATTTAAAATTTTATTTTATAAACAGAACTATTTTTTGATTGGTAAACCTTCATTCAATTTTTTTTTAATTATCAGCAAGTATGGTTATAGTTTGGTTAGGTTATGACATGATTTAATCTTCTATATATTTAATACACAGTTGTAAGTCTGTTTTCTCATTAATTACTGGACCGATCTACAAGATTTATGTCTCAAATTAAAGGGGATAGTGTGTAGATTTGCCGAACTTCTTTAGAATTTACGTTTTTTTATAAGGGCTACGACCTACAACCCTTCAAAGGTCAAGTCAATAAAATTCTTATTGAAGAATATAATACACAGTTTATAAATTATTCGTCAGCTGTTTATGTTTAATGTTTGTCAGACTTTTGTTATTATTTTTATAACCTCACTTTGAGTATGTTATTATTAATCTACTAGGAGTTCCTGTTTATAAACTCACGATTTTGATCAAGGAAAAGTTTATTTGTTCTTTTTATACCACAATGTATTATTTATAAATGTATTTGAACATTATTTGTATGTTTTGGTGAAAATTTTGTATTTTTGAAAGGCTTTAGTTTTCCTGTGAAGTAATCTGAAGGGAAGTGGTAATTCAGTTTTTAATTTTGAGTATGGAATATGAAATAGAAATAATACCCATAGAAGGGGACAGAAACTTATTGTTTTGAGTTTTGATCAAATAATTTATTCTCTATAGCCACCAGAACAATCATAGGGAAATCCGCTTGCAAGTTGTACAGATAATTGCTGATGAGTCAGAAACATACAAACATTTTGTTGTAGGTGATGAATCTTACTCAAGATCAGTGTTTGACGTTCAGCAGTACCAAATTTTACTTTATCGAGATGGCGAGTACGCTGGGATACGTGGAACTACAATTTATCAGTGAACTATACCCTAACTATTTTTTTCGAGTACACAGGGAAGTTGGTTGGGAAACTGTGACTCACGATTTCGGTTCTGGCGAAGAAGTAGCCTATGTGAATTGATGTTTAATGGCAATGTTGACTCGGGGTCATTACAGCGTTATAAAACTTTATCATTAACCCCAGGGTGTGAAAAGTACAAAAAAAAAGGTAGGCCTAATCATTAACTGGGCGTAAAGAGACATACAGAACAAAATAAAAACTCGTAGGGAACCATCAAACTAAAAAAGTAAAGAGCAGTGATGGTGTTAAATGTGCTCTGGAAGTCCCTACAAAAAAAAACACTGACTCTTTTGAATTGGGGTCGTTAAATTGGATTTGTCACTACTGCAAATCTATGAATTTCGAGTCAGAACAGACTAACACGGACACAAATATATTCTCCTTATGTTGTCACAAGGGAAAGATAAAATGTAGCTCCTTATCAACATTTTGAGTTGGTTCATGGAAAATCTTATAAACGGGGCTACAGCGACTATAAATAAAGTATTAAGGATCAAAAGAAACAAAAAAAGCTATTTGAATAATATAAGATCATACAACTCTGCATTTGAAATGGCGAGTTCTAAGTCTCACTTGAATCAACATCTTTCTGGTAGTCTACATAATTTTAAGATCCGGGACTTCTTTTACAATCGGATTGGACCGTTAATACCCTCTAACATTAAACAAAAGTATGCCCAACTTTATATATACGACGTAAACACAGCTGTTACTCACAGAATGGGTCAAAAATTCGTGAAATGCGACCAACTGCTGATGATGCGTTATTTAAGTATCTATCTTTATTCCGTACAACAAATGTAACCAACAAAAAAAACAACGAATATAGGAATACATGAACATATTATCACCATAGCATAAGTAGGTTATTAGGTTATAACATTGCACAGTTTGTATACTATTTATTTTTCAAATGAAACTCGAATTAATGTTAAACATTCATTTGGTTAAACTTATATATATCGGTTTGATTAACATAAAATAGTTAATACAGGCCAACTATCAGTTAATTCTATTTTATGTAAAAAATTAAGCAGCCTCTAAATGAACAAAGATAATGGAACAAAGATAAACGGTATTTGTTAATTATTATATCTTTTATTGCTGACAATATTCCCGTGGCGGAGCACGGGCGGTTAACTAGTTAAATTAAAACTAGAGGACTTATTTCAATGCTCCACAGCATTAAAATAAATAGAATATTCAAGAAATAATCAAATTTATGATTATCAAATTTATCAAATTTATTATTATTAATCGCTTAAAAGCCTATATTTCACTGAAAGCCCATAGACCAAAATATATATAGGTTTATATTAAAACTGGTGAAATACATCTTAAATTGATGTAAGAATTCAAAAATTAATCAATTTTTTTTTAGTAATACCAAGCCAATTCCAGTTTGGTAAGTAAGTATATGCCGACGCTTGATGTGAAATCTGTGCGTGTATACCTTCAATTTGAGACCTCAATCATGAAAATCGGTCGGGTAGAAGAGCCATCGAACTCGGCAAAGAAAACCCAAATTTAACTCCCATAAGAAATACATGGGGAGCTAATTTCGTTTACGCATAAGCAGAAGTGGGATTATAGATAAATATACGCCAATGCTTGATGGCAAATCTGTGCGTGCATACCTTCAATTTGAGACCTCAATCATGAAAATCGGTCGGGTAGAAGAGCCAAACGAACTCGGAAAAGAAAAACCAAATTTTTTAAATATATAAGATTTAACCTACAAAACGATATGTTTCGACAGTGATAGAGATAACAATTTGCCGTGAGCAGTTCAGTTATGCACGGTATGATGAGTTCCGCGCGGCGCAGTGGTGGGCGGTAGTTTTCTGTCGGGAACGTCTCGTCTGGAGACCTCCATGATGACGGGTACTGCGCTGAGAGACCTCCTCCCGGAAAGAGAGCCTCTCCAGAAGGTACTGTGGCTCCTGTACGACAAGAGCCTTGTGCACCATTTAGCACGTCATGATCCTGCAAACAGTGTCTACTGTTGACAATGTTGACATCCCTGCTACAGTTTAAAAGACATTGTCTTATTGACAACCTCCCTTTCTACACCTTCAACAAAATAGTTGTACACCCTTACTGAAACAAATCTTTTAAAAGGTTTGAATAGAATTTTAAACAGGAACTTAAAAACAAATCTTGTATGAATGTTTAATTTTTTACGTTTGTTTAGTCATAATTTAATCTCTCCCCATAATACTCAGGCTTGATTGTAAAATGTAAACAATGAAGTGAATCGCAAGGCATAATGTGTACGGCAATAAAGGCAAGAACTAATATCATTAAAAGTAATTATTTTAGTACATTTTTATACAATTGGGGTTTCGGTTTAGGTGAATTTATGTTCTAATCAAATATCTATATTTTATTATGAGAATAAATCATTAATCACAATGAATGGACTTTTTACTCTTATCACTACTCAATTTTTTTTTATTATATAAAATGAAAGTTTCAACTTTGTAGATACTTTATGCCTTTTGTATATTGGAAGTAGAATCCATCCACCCTTTATGCTTTAAACCACTGATTTTTTATGTTCCAATACCAAGGAAAGAGTTATGTACATTAAATGAACATTTAACATAAACACTGATTGTAAGCGGCCAAATTTTCTAACCAAGTAAATTAATAGGAGTAATCTTTCTGTATAGTTTTTTTTGGTAACAATACTGAAATAAAACTAACATATTATAACAATAAACTTCTGTATTGTACCGGTACTAGGTTTTTAGCAACATTCTTGTTGAACCATATACAGTATTATTAATAAAAATCAATTTACAAAGGTCGTTTGGCTCTTAAAAAAGATTGCTATAACCCTTCATGTAAAACATTAACCAATTGTACTGATATTTCATCCATTTCTACAGGCAACCAGAACCTCAATGACAAGCAACAGAACTTACTGAAGCTTTTCGTGAATGTTCAGCAGCCCAACTACAACCAGGAGCAACAGCAGATCGGCAACAACTTCAACTTCAACCCCAAAAAATTCAACGTTAGTACATTATTTCCTATAGTTACAGGTTCTCCCTTTCAAATACGGATAGCCCATAAAATGACTGTGCTATTTTATCTGTACAATATTTCTTACTTAGAACTGTACAATCTTAGGATTACTCTTGTTTTCTTCCATAAAAAGACTTGCTTCAATCTCAGGCAAACAAAGTAATAATTTATATGAATACCTGTTTGTTTATCGATGGCGACGTCCTGTAATCCAGCTACTAGGAGGTCACGCATTGTGGATATTTATAGGCATGTACTGTGCTGGATGCGATACTCCCTGGTGTGGATTAACGTCCACACTAGTGAGTACTACGACTATCCGCAGTACAATCCTGATAATTAGACCAATTTGTTAATACTAAGGCAAAAATGTGGTTCGGATTCCACTATAAACTGTAGGTCCCTTAGTTGCCATTAGCTGTATGGGCTATTAACAGCTGTATCTAAGGAAAATGTCGGCCTTAGTCACTAAGACTACAAGATCGCGCCACTCATCCTACACCCATCTCCATTCATACTCTGCTTAAAATACCTACTTTGTTTGGTTGCCATTTCATTGAAAAGTATTAAAAAGTTTTAAGTATATAAATAAAATTAGAATTTTGTCTGTACATTGCTCAGAATTATATATTTTTTGGTTATTTTTACGTTTTGTACTTTCACTGGATTGGCGAGAGTGTCTTTAGCCATCAAAATATGACCTCACTTCTTTTGAAATAAAATAACAGACGTTTAAAAACCCAATTTTGTGCGATTTTTGTCAATCTTTCTCTTAATGTTTACCATATAATATGTCATTTATTTATGAAATACTCATCTGTTTGGAGAATACAACATCTATGAAGTAATGAACAGCTGTTTGGATAGAGTTTTTTCTAGCTGTCACTGTATATGTTTACATTAAATGTTGTTTACAAATACTGCAACCATTTGCAATCACTTTTGTAAGAAAATCCAAAACCAAGTGAAATTAAAAATGTTGTGCCTTACATAACGGGTTTTGTTAACCACAAGTGCAATAATGTGTAACTGTAGATGAAATTAAATTTCAAGGCATCATTCAGTTTGCTAACTTGAGATTCTGTGTGTGTGTGTCAAATTGTACTCGAGTTTTGATAACCAGGAAACAGACCCTGAAACAGAGCTGTATACGAGTTATGCCTGTATATCTGGAAAAATGCACACTTAATATGCAAACCAACTGCTGTTCTGATTATAAAAAGGTTTCAACTGACTACATAATCCCGTCCGTAGAACGGGTACACAGCTAGTTATTCATAAAATTATTACTATCAATAATTAACTATTTGTTACTACAAAGGTTTTGAATTTTGTAAATTGAATTTATTTTTAAAGATTTAATGTCCAACATTGAGATTGAATTTTCAATAATAATAAAATGCAGAAATCTTACCTGGAATGTGTTGTTGCAGAACAACTATGCCGTGAAGCAATTCCAGAGCGCATACCAGCAAGGTCTGCTGCCTCGTGGACAAGTGTTCAACTACAACAACCCCAACCAGCTCCAACAGGCCATCCAGCTGTTTGATGTGTTCTACTTTGCCAAGGACTTTGACACCTTCTATCAGGCCGCTTGCTGGGCCCGCGACCGCGTCAACGAGGGGCAGTTTGTGTACGCTCTGAGCGTCGCCATCGTCAAGCGTCAAGACACCCAGAACATTCCTCTGCCTCCCCAGTCCGAGGTCTACCCCAACCTGTACGTCAACGCTCAGGCCATCCAACAGGCCCAGAACAACAAGCAGCAAGGCCAGAAGCAAGCTGTCGTCCAGTCCAACAACACCAACAACTACGTCCAGAACCAGCAGCAGAAGCAAAAACAGCAGCAGCAGCAGCAACAACAACAGCAGCAAGGAAACCAGAACCAGTACCAGCAGCTGTTCAACAACCAGTACCAGAACAACCAGAACTATGACAACGAGAACCAGGCCAACCAGTACCAGAACCAACAACAGAACAACCAGGAAGGTCGTGTCGCTTACTTCAGCGAGGACATTAACCTGAACCAGCAGTTCGCCAACCAGCAGATCTACAACCCCAACTGGTTCAACCAGCAAAAGTACAACCAGAAGAGCCAAAATGCCAACCAAGGCGAGAACTTCTACTACTACCTGCAGCAGGTTCTGGCTCGTTACAACCTGGAGAGGTACGCCAACAACTTGCCCAAAGTGCAGCCCTTCCAGTTCAACAAGAATGTTCAGCCCGGCTACAACCCCCAGCTGCAGTACCACAACGGTCAGGCCGTGCCCGTCCGTCCCAATTACGTCAACATCAACAACGCCAACAACAACTACCTGCAGCAACTGCAGAACATTGACAGACGCATCGCTGACGCTGTCGACAGCCAACAAGTCAAGAACGTGAGTATCTGACAAAGTCAATTTGTTTATGTTGAAACATCTCAATATCTGCATATACTTTAATAGTTTTTTGTTTAAAGAATTTCCTGTTCAGTAAGTGAAACATGAGTGAATTCTCAAAGCCAAAAACATATTTTATCTTTGTGTATAACCCAGCCATTACTTACAATGTTTTTTCTTAATATTTATTAGTTATATTACACATGAGGAAATATTATTTTAAAAATCAAAAGATAAATTTATTTACCATTTAATTATAATTTAGAAAAAAACAAAAAACTAATCTAAATAAAGTCCCCTGCAGACTTAAAAATGCGCAAAATTAAGTTTTAAAGTAAAACTTGAGGTTTTAACCATTTTGTGATGATTTTATTTAACGTAAACATGTTTGCTATGGCAGAACCAGGGAGGCAAGCAGGCTCTAAATGCTGAGAATGGAGTTGCTGTTCTGGGTAACATTGTGCAAGCCAACGAGAACTCAGTCAACAACCAGTACTACGCAGCCAACAACGGCCTCTATGGCTACTTCGACGTCTTCAGGAAGGTGGTTGGAAGCATTGTTGACCCCAACAACAAATACCAGGTAAAAAGCTCTCCATTCTTATTTGTTTAGCCTTTTAACTTTCACTATTGCTTTTAATAAACTCTGTATTTGTTAATAATTAGTTGGTTACCAAACCATTTTTGTATTCAGTAGTTGGTTTGTATAGTTGGTTGCCAACATTAATAAGGTATACATTTGATTTATAATATAAAAAAATTAACCAATGACCTTAAATAGTGCAAATAAACAAACTGTATTTGAACTGAAGCTTGGCTTCATGTGGGTTTCATGTTTGGGAAATTTTAAAGTTCATTTCTAAATGCTCTTTCTTTTATCCTAGAGTTTAAATTGATAGTTTTATTTGGTTATAGTTTAAAAATAGATTTTTCAACAAGAGACAAATGGTAAACCAACAAAATTGGTTGGAATTAACATTAAATTTGCCTTCAGCTCATCCATAATCTATGGTCTCACTCAGTACCTAGAGGAGGGTACAAACTTTAATTACAAAGAACTGGAATGTTCAGGCTGCTCCCGGAGCTATTGAGACCAACTCCGCTGCCCTGAGGGACCCCGTCTTCTACCAGATCATTGCCCGCGTTGTCAACTACTTCCAGAACTTCAAGAACCAACTGCAGTCCTACAAGCAGGAGCAACTGAACTTCCAGGGAGTCGAGGTTCAGGCTGTGAACGTGGACAAGCTGGTCACTTACTTTGACAACAACGAGGTGGACTTGTACAACGCCATCAACTACCAGCAGGGAGAGCAGGCCGAGAACTACCAGTACAAGGCCCAGCAACAGCAGCTCAACAACAAGCCCTTCAACTACCAGATCCAGGTCAACAGCCAGCAGGAAGCCGACGCCATCGTGCGAGTCTTCATCGGACCCCAATACGACGCTCAGGGCAACCAGTACACTCTGGAGCAGGCAAAGCAGAACTTTGTTGAGATCGACCGCTTTGTCACTAACTGTAAGTATAAGCCTATCACCTGTAAAAATAACTAATCCTTATCTCAAGTGGGATGGTATACACAAAAAACATGAGGTATAGCAGTGTTGTCAGGGTTAAAAGTGGGTACATAGATTGGAGAAGGTTGAGCAACATAAGATTGTTCCTCAATGTTGCCATCTAATACTACCCAGTTATTATGTTGGTCCAGTTGAAATAATTGAATTTATTTGACAATCCTTAGGAATATTAACCTAATACCCCAAGTTTTCTCCCATAAACTAACTTAATTTTATCCATCCAAAATATTTAAGAACAAGAACCAACGAACCTATCTGAATAAACACCTCTAACAATTAACTATAAAAAAAAGTTCAAACTTAAAGGGATGACTTCCCAAGTCAGAGTGTCTAAAGTTTGTCTTTTAACAGTGAAGAGTGGCCAGAACCAGATCCAGCGCAATTCCCAGCAGTCCACCAGGTTCGTACAGCAGCAGCCCAACTCTCGCGCCATCTTCCAGGGACAAGTCAACTACAACCAGACCCAACAACAGCAGCAGCAGTACACTCTGCCTCAGAACCTGATCCTGCCCAAGGGCTCCCAGAACGGCCAGCAGTACGTGTTTGTGGTGGCTGTCAACCAGTACCAACCTAACAACAACCAGAACAACCAGTACAACAACCAGCCCAATGACAACCGTCCCCAGGGCTTCCCCTTTGACCGTCAGGTCCAGCCTCAGAACTTCCAGCAGGCTAAGAACATCTTCTTCCAGACTGTCACTGTCTACAACAAGAACAACAACAACCAATACTGAACACTTGGAACAGTAACAATGTAAAATATCTGTGATCATTCAATTTCAATGTAATGCTTGAAATTCATAATTTGTAAATTTAAAACAGTTTTATGTCATCAGAAATTTGCTTAATATTTAAGCGTGAACAAATAAATCTTACAATTCAATTGGATGTCTGACTTTTAAACCCTACTTTCAAACTTAACAAGTAATACGATATAAGAGATTTAAATCAGATATCATAATCGGTAGTGAGATGGATGTTAATAAGGACAACAAAGCAAGAGGCAGCGCATGCAGTTCAACCTTTTAAAAAAAAATATTGTTTTGAAATGAAAGGTAATATGTGCATTCAACGCTTTATTCAACGATAAGGTAATATGTACATCCAAAAACATAACACTTTGAAACAATGTTTGATAACAACCGTCTGTTTGGTTGACACAATTTTTGCCTTCTAAAATGAAATGAAATGACCTATTTGAACATTGGCCAAATTAAATAATACACAGTATTTCGATTGGTCCTCATCCGGCTATTTTAATGTTGGTAATAAAGTTGACGTATTAACCTCTCCCGCTCCCCTGTATTACTATTTATTTAATCAATCAATAAAATAATTTCTATCGGTATGTGGTCGGACCCTGGATATGGCTCTACTCTAAAGTCCTTCACTAAATGCAAGGAATCCAATCACAAAGTTGACAAATCTATGACAGACGAGCCCATCGCCCCTATAAAAGTAAACTCACACTCCTTATCACTAGCTGACCTTCTATTTAGAATGATTAATCCTCTATTGTCAAACGATTCTAATAGCTTATTCCCCCTTCTGTTTAAGGTTTTGTCCTTTGACTGCCTACCACTATCTAAATAATTATTTACATTTTTAAGTTCGCCATTTCCAAAACCCTGTTCATCACCTATTTGTCCATTCAGATCTCCAAAAAATATTAGATTCCCAATTTCATTACTATTTAAATATTCAACAATTTCACTATAACACTGTTCCCACTAATTGTAGTTCAAATATAAAAGGTATGAAATTTATGTATTTTTGAACACCATTGAACTTGCCTTTACATAACTTAGTTCCTGTTTATTAATGAAAAAAACAAATTTTTCTGAAAAGGTGATTTCAAGTTTAACCCAATAATATCACCTCCGCTATATGGGATAGTAAGGGCCGTTAAAAATTGACAGGGGATCTCCAGACTTTTTATTTACCCTGTATATATGTCCGTTAGGATTTATTTCAGATTATTGTCAGATTTATCCTATACTCTAATACGAGCAATGTTTGCTTGTATGTATGTATGTATGCTTGCTTGCTTGCTTGCTTGCAAACAAGATCTCGAAAACGGCTCCGACGATTTTCTTCAAATGTTGTAAATAGTTTATTTCTGGCCTAAAAACGAGTTTACTGCAGTTAGAACTGCCAACAAAAATCTAATTACGTAGAAAAATGAAACTGAAAATCACATTTTTTTAACATTAGTCTTATGGGTTGCTAGGTAACCATGTTGGCTGAATTAAATAACAAGGAAAAAGTAAACAAAAGACTTGAAGTTGTAGCATGTGTTCATAATCCTATACTCTAATACGAGCAATGTTTGTATGTATGTATGCTTGCTTGTACCAAGATCTCGAAAACGGCTCCGACGATTTTCTTCAAATGTTGTAAATAGTTTATTTCTGGCCTAAAAACGAGTTTACTGCAGTTAGAACTGCCAACAAAAATCTAAATACGTAGAAAAATGAAACTAAAAATCCAATTTTTTTAACATTAGTCTTATGGGTTGCTAGGTAACCATGTTGGCTGAATTAAATAACAAGAAAAAAGTAAACAAAAGACTTGTAATTTGTCTATCCACAGTACACTAGCAAAACAAAATACAGTACAAAAGGAAAAACATCAGTTGTTACTATTGAGCAAAGATTATACTGAAGATTACTAGATTCTATAGTCAAGGGTAGCAGTGTGGAGTGTGGGATCTGTTTATGACGATTAGATTACGGTATCTGCAATCCTTAAATGCTATGGAAAGGGAGGAAAACAGGTCCACGACATAGGAAGTGGTGAAGGAAGTAGTAAAGGCGAGCAGTCTGGACTGGAGTGTGGGAACTGCTTATGACGATTAAATTAAGGTATCTGCAATCCTAAAATGTAATGGTAGGGACGAAAACAGGTCCATGACGTAGGAAATGGGAAAGGAAGTTGTAAGGCTAGCAGTGCAGAGTGTGGGGACCGTCTGTGGCATTTATGTATCTGCAATTCTAAAATAGTATAAAAAAGGAGGGCAAACAGGTCTATGACATAGGGAGTGGTGAAGGAAGAAGTAAGGGTGAGCAGTCCGGAGTGTGGGAATTGTTAATAACGATTAGATGAAGTTATCTACAATCCTAAAATGCTATGGGAAGGGAGGGAATCAGGTCCGCGACGTAGGAAGTGGTGACTTAAGTAGTAAAGGCGAGCAGTCTGGAGTGTGGAAACTGTTTATGACGATTAGATTAAGGAATCTGCAATCCTAAAATCCTATGGGAAAGGATGGAAAGAGGTCCGCGACGTAGGAAGTGGTAAAGGAAGTAGTAAAGGCGAGCAGTCTGGAGTGTGAAAACTGTTTATGACCATTAGATTAAGGAATCTGCAATCCTAAAATGCTATGGGAATGGAGGGAAACAGGTCCGCGACGTAGGAAGTGATGAAGGAAGTAGTAAAGGCGAGCAGTATGGAGTGTGAAAACTGTTTATGACGATTAGATTAAGGAATCTGCAATCCTAAAGTGCTATGGGAATGGAGGGAAACAGGTCCGCGTCGTAGGAAGTGATGAAGGAAGTAGTAAAGGTGAGCAGTCTGGAGTCTGGGAACTGTTTATGGGAATTACATTAAGGTATCTACAATCCTAAAATGCTACAAGAAGGGAGGAAAACAGGTCCATGACGTAGGAAATTGTGTAGGAAGTAGTAATGCTAGCAGTGCAGAGTGTGGGAACTGTCTGTGGCATTTATGTATCTGCAATTCTAAAATGGTATAGTGAAGGAGGGCAAACAGGTCCACGACGTAGGAAGTGATGAAGGAAGTAGTAAAGGCGAGCAGTCTGGAGTGTGAAAACTGTTTATGACGATTAGATTAAGGAATCTGCAATGCTAAAATGCTATGGGAAGGGAGGAAAACTGGTTCACGACGTAGGAAGTGGTGAAGGAAGTAGTAAAGGTGAGCAGTCCGGAGTGTGGGAACTGTTAATAACGATTAGATCAAGTTATCTACAATCCTAAAATGCTATGGGAAGGGAGGGAATCAGGTCCGCGACGTAAGAAGTGGTGAAGGAAGTAGTAAAGGTGAGCAGTCCGGAGTGTGGGAAATGTTTATGACGATTAGATTAAGGTATCTACAATCCTAAAATGCTATGGGAATGGAGGGAAACAGGTCTGCGACGTAGGAAGAGGTGAAGGAAGTAGTAAAGGCAAGCAGCCCGGAGTTTTGGAACTGTTAATGACGATTAGATTAGGGTATCTGCAATCCTAAAATGCCATTGGAAGGGAGAGAAACAGGTCCGCGACGTAGGAAGTGGTGAAGGAAGTAGTAAAGGTGAGCAGTCTGGAGTCTGGGAACTGTTTATGGGAATTACATTAAGGTATCTACAATCCTAAAATGCTACGAGAAGGGAGTAAAACATGTCCATGACGTAGGAAATGGTGTAGGAAGTAGTAATGCTAGCAGTGCAGAGTGTGGGAACTGTCTGTGGCATTTATGTATCTGCAATTCTAAAATGGTATATGGAAGGAGGGCAAACAGGTCCACGACGTAGGGAGTGGTGAAGTAAGTAGTGAAGGTTAGCAGTTTGGAGATGGGGAGTGGATTAATGTATCTGCAATACTTTTCAGAGTAAACTAATAATTTCCCCCGAGCAAAGCTCGGTCCCCAGGTACTATACTCTAATACGAGCAATGTTTGCTTGTATGTATGTATGTATGCTTGCTTGCTTGCAAACAAGATCTCGAAAACGGCTCCGACGATTTTCTTCAAATGTTGTAAATAGTTTATTTCTGGCCTAAAAACGAGTTTACTGCAGTTAGAACTGCCAACAAAAATCTAATTACGTAGAAAAATGAAACTGAAAATCACATTTTTTTAACATTAGTCTTATGGGTTGCTAGGTAACCATGTTGGCTGAATTAAATAACAAGGAAAAAGTAAACAAAAGACTTGAAGTTGTAGCATGTGTTCATAATAAGCCAACAACCCACAGTATACTAGCAAATTACAAATACAGTACAAAAGGAAAAACATCACTTGTTAATATTTAGCAAAGATTATACTGAAGATTAGATTACTCGATACATTGTAGTCAAGGGTAGCAGTGTGGAGTGTGGGATCTGTTTATGACGAATAGATTAAGGTATCTGCAATCTTAAAATGCTATGGGAAGGGAAGGAAACAGGTCCGCGTCGTAGGAAGTGGTGAAGGAAGTAGTAAAGGCAATCATAAAATAATATCGGAATGGAGGGAAACAGGTCCGTGACGTAGGAAGTGATGAAGGAAGTAGTAAAGGCAAGCAGTCTGGAGTGTGGGAACTGTTTATGACGATAAGATTAGGGTATCTGCAATCCTAAAATGCTATGGGAAGGGAGGGAAACAGGTCCGCGACGTAGGAAGTGGTGAAGGAAGTAGTCAAGGCGAGTAGTCCGGAGTGTGGGAACTATTTATGTTGATTAGATTAAGGTATCTGCAATACTAAAATGCTATGGGAAGGAAGGAAAACAGGTCCGCGACGTAGGAAGTGGTGAAGGAAGTAGTCAAAGCGAGCTGTCCGGAGTGTGGGAACTGTTTATGACGATTAGATAAGGGTATGGGCAATCCTGAAATGCTATGGGAAGGGAGGGAAACAGGTCCGTGACGTAGGAAGTGGTGAAGGAAGTAGTCAAGGCGAGTAGTCCGGAGTGTGGGAACTGTTTATGACGATTAGATTAAGGTATCTCCAATCTTTAAATGTAATGGGAAGGGAGGGAAACAGGTTTGCGACGTAGGAAGTGGTGAAGGAAGTAGTAAAGGCAAGTAGTATGGAGCGTGGGAACTGTTTATGACGATTAGATTAAGGTGTCTGCAGTTCTGAAATGCTATGGGAAGGGACGAAAACAGGTCCACTACGTTGGAAGTGGTGAAGGA